CCTTTTAAGCCCGTACTGCATGCCCCGGGGCAAAGAGTTAAATTGTTTCATTATCACAGAGGATCAGTCTAAACGACTCAGGTGTAGATTGACTACAAGTACTACCAAGTGTAGCGGGGCTGCCGCAGCTTTGCGCTTTGAGGAAGCGTAATTTAGGTCTCTGGCCTTTCGTTATATACTTAGAACAAGTACGGGTTTAGCGGATCGGAATCCGCTTACTCCAAGAGTAATTAAAACCTCAACCCGAGGCTAATTCCATTTCATCCAAAACTGATTTTTATTATTTATTCTGATCTGCGGCAAAGCCGCCCAATTTTAAATGTACAGATTCTTCTAGATATATATAGTAAAATCTGAATACATGCATAACTACTGGCTACCCAGCCACAAACCGTATTCTTGTTTGTGTGCAGTCACATCATGCCCATCTCGTGTGACACCCCCCCTGTTACCAGGGTACGTGTTACCCCGCTACAGACATGGCATGACTTCTTGCCAATTTGTTTTGCAGTGGCTGCTTGGGCAATGTGGAAGCGGTGGCGCTCAAAACTACAACATGTAGTCTCACGCGGAGCTAGACTCTAACTTTTTTAAATTTGGATCGTCCATTCCATGTCGTCTCTGACGCTCTATTTCACCTTAAATTTTGTACTATACACAGATAAATATAATCGCGATCGCATTCAAGCCTTGCATCTCCAGTGAGAAGAAGTGACTTGCATTAAAGCATGTTTTTGTCGAGTTTAGGGCACTTCTGCTTGGCATTAAACCGCGTATTCTGTATCCATTTTGTGCGTTATTGCCCACAGCGGTGGCGGACGCACATTCGCGTCGTCCCCACTATGCGTTAGCGCTTGTCACGGTAAGAGACATTTTTTGGAATCCGTCATCGACAAAGGGACATACGTTTATATGGCTACTTCTAATTCTCAGCTTCCTTGTGTTGAGTACCTAGTGATAAGGATCCAACTATAGATTAAAGTACTAGGCACATTATTCACCTTTGGCTGGCGACCACGTATGATAAAAGCCATCTTAATAAGTAAGTGCTATCTGCCGGTGGCTCAACATGGACAAGTGGGCAAGCACTTATGTGCGCACGTACAAATGTGTCAACGGTTTTGCCGCATACTGCGGTACTTTTGGCAAGCCTGTTGTCCCCGGCAGAGCTTTGGCAGCCCAAAAGTTTGGATTCTTCCAAAAGACGCGCCCGGTATTACTGGGATTGTGGTATTTTGCAATCCGTATGAGCAAGATGGCCCATCTCACTGATGTCAGCGAAAATTGACTGGAAAGGATACAGCCAGTTGAGATGCTCCTCGACAGTCTTTTACGTCAACATGCCTTGCTGGTTGTCATTGTATCAAGGCTAGATCCGCACTTTACAGCAAATTTACATCGAGCTTGGTTTAAGGTGCTAACCATCAATCTGAGCTTGTCCACCGCTGACATTTCACAGATACAAGGTAAGTCGTAAAGTTAGTCACAATGATAATTAAATGTTGGCCTCAGCTGACGCGCGGAGATACCGTGGTGCTCAAACGAAGTGAAGAGATTTTGCTTAAGAACACTGCCCATTCCTCTACATTGATTTCCTCGTATTAAATAATTTGCTTGACTGACCGTCGGATCCATTGTACATTACCACAAATTGGTTCCGAACGTGAAGGAGGTGTTCGAGACAATCCGACTTGCTGGTATCAGCATGGTTAACCTTCTTGGAAAAGTAGTGAATTTTATCTCGACTTGAGTTGCGTCATGAGCTGGATCACGACTTAAGGATGTTCAACAGCAACACACTGCCACTGTAGGAGGAACACACATATGAGAATGTAGGGAAAACGTTTTTAATCAAACATGACTGAACTATTAACTTTCAGTATCTACAATTTATATCACCAAGTTGCGACCTCCCCAGAAAATGCAATTTAGGGTCGAAGCTCATAACGCATTCAGTCACACCAACTATAAATTTGGAGAGAGTATAAGCATATCCTGCGTTTGACGTGGCTTGCTAAACTCATTTCATAATCCCGCTATACCCAACCATGTGAGTGTGAAATACCCTGTGGTAGGCGAAACAACGTCTAAATTTTCCGCTATAGCTGAAAATCCTTCTCATTTCAGGCAGTGACATGGTTGTTAGCCGAGTTGCTCATCTCAAGCCGTACAGTGAGATGGCAGAGCTTCGATGACATTCGAAAATTGGCTGATGTCAGTTTCAGCCCCACCGCGAGACTCTCGGAGGGAGTCAGTGTCCCGCCACAACCGAGAGAGCTAAGAAGAGCTAGACGCAGGAAGCGTCATCCATCGGCACTGCTTGCTTGCGAAAGGTGGTACAAGGTACGGATAATGAGGCTGCAACGCACTACGTCTTTGGTGAAGTGGAAGCGATATTCTCACACTAAAAACACTCATGTGCTTGAGGTCCACTTCAGCAAGGATGTGCTGGCGCCGCTGGCGTTTACTTGACGAACAACCGGCCTCTATCCCATAAAAAATGCTTGATCGCCAGCGAAACGCGCATCCCAGTAGCGAGTTGATACCGACTTATTTCAAGCTCGAAGCTTGACCGGTAGCCCTCATATAAATGAGCAAGACTCGTCAAAGTAAGAATTGAGATGCTCAACGTCAACTTCCAGCCAAAATCGTTTGAAATCTCGTTCTTTGAGCATTTATAAAATGTGCCAAACTGTAATGAGCGACAAGGCTTTGTTGTCATTTGTGAGAAAATATATTTACATCCGACTGAGACTAGACATACAATTCCTGACATGCAGTAATGTCTAACACTGCTCAGCTGATGACAAAAATGCGATCAATAATTACGATCAGTTGGGTCTTTCTCGAATTTTTGGCCACACAAGAAATAAGTCAAACATTATAACTGCAAAAAATGTGAATTTTTATGTGTAAAATACAAAATAGCACATCATTTTATTCAAATGCAGCGCTACAGTCTCCCGCAGTCAACGTACCAGACGCCCAGTGAATATTATAGCCGAGATACCTCCAGGAGTGGCTCGGGTTTGCGAAGTGATGTAACGCCATTTCATTCTAATGATACGTACGGTGCTTATACGACCGTAAGTCAAATGCGTTACCAGTCACAGCATCAGTACCGTCAGCACCACCGAGCAAGCAATAGCAGTGGTAGTAGTTACCCGGCAGTTGGGACGGCTCCAGAACTAGATGAAGAAGTGCAGTATGCGCCACACTTGCTGGCATACAGAACTATCTACTTGCTTCAAGGCACTTTTATGGGAATGCTTGGCCCCGCGCTTGTCTTCTTCTCAACGTTAGCTCAAAAAAACTCGGGGATAGCAGCGCCAGTCTACGGATTTGGTCCCATATTCGCAGCACACGGAGGCGCAGCGCTTGTCATGAGCTTCATGAGCGACTTCGTGCTTACATATATCATGGAGAAAAAGTTCATAAAGCAACTGATTATTGTGCTGTTGCTCTGCAGTGGGACATGGTACGCGTGTCTTACACCTGTAGCTGCCGCCACAGGCAACGTAGGAGTTGGAATGCTATTCATGGCCAAAGGGTTTTGGACAGCGCTCTTAAATATAACGTATGTAGGCATTCATCAGGTGGTTTGTTGTGATAGAGGCTGACGGGGATGCAAAACTTTTGAAACAGATTGAATCGCTGCTCCTTGTGGATTGCTGGGGAAAAAGATCAACGAAGGCGTAGCATTGTTACATCTATGAATATCTATTATGGCCTTGGCTGCTTGCTTGGAGCAATGGTTGCGCTACTGTTCACGATACTGAAAATCGATCTTCATTACGCATTCTATGGGCTGGCCATCATGTCAGGGCTCCCGGCCGCATTAGTCGCAATGTTGCCAAGCCCAAACAGTTATTATGGTCGCGATGAGCACCAGACGCTGCTGTCTTTCGAAGACCCCACGCGTCGTGTACCTACTGTACCAAGCCCAATTGTAGGTGGCGTCTTCTTGCATGCCAAGCACATCAGTGGCTCGAAAAATTGTAATCCTGACACATACGACTCGAAGAACAATTTTATCATTTTACTCGTGACCATCTACGCAACTGTGCTTTTCGGTATCCAGCTCGGCCTTGCTGCCTTTTTGTACGACTATGTTGGCACAGTTCTTACGTACAATACAAACTGGACAGATACAGGTGTCCCGGACAATGAAACAGAAATCGAGCGAAATAAGACAGTGTGGCAGTGCGCGGCAATGGTGATGTTTTGGGGGTCATTAACTGTGTCTTATATTCTCCTCCCGGGGTTTTTGTTTCATGAAAAAAATCTTTACTCTATTGTTATATGTGCCGTGGTATGCGGAGTAAGTTCATTCGGACTTTTATTCGGAGCTCAAGCGGGTCTTATTACTCTCACAATCTGCCTTTTCTTGTTTACGTTTGCTTTGGCCCCGCTCTTTACCCTGAGTATCCATTGTTTGACGCGAGTAATAAATGAGCAGCTAATCCGGCGTGTGTCGTCGCTCATCGTATTTGGATGTGGAATGGGGGAAGTATTTATACCAGTACTAATGGGATTTTTCATGAGCGGGCAAAGCGGACAGACAAATGGAGCCGTTGCTGTGAGCTACATCACTTTCATCCTTGCTATCACATTAGTAGGAGTTAGCGGGATGTTGCTGTGGATGGTCAAAGCACGGCTGAAAGAACTTCCAGAACCTTTTGACGAGCTAGAGGCCAAAAGTGAAACGAGTCGTATGCTAGCAGCTCGTGCAGGCCATCGTATGCAGAAGAATGACAAATGCTGATAATTGACCGAATACTATTATGCAAGTCTTAGATGTACTTAAAGGTGTAAGTGCACAATCCGAGCAATGTGCAACTCGTTTCAATTGGTTATGTCAAGAATGTTCTGAAGTGCACACACACTTATCTGTTTACATAATCTTGGTCGATTTTATCCTAACTTTTCATTTGATCTCAGTGGATGGCATATGTATTCAACCATTCGTGACAATATATAGTACTCGATGGATTGTATCGAAACGAACACTTACTACCGAAGCAGATTTTTCACTTAGTTTCAATTTGTCAGCCAAGATTGTATTCGTAAAATGTATGTTAAAACCTCTCGTACCATTAAATTACGCAAGTACGTACTTGGAATCTATGCGGATATTCTGCTTCATAATCATTTCTTTAAAATTGAAGCTTTTCCATATCGAGCCGCGTACGGTCGTTGCATGTCTTAAGATTTATATCCTTGCAGTCCTTTGTGAACTCAATATACGAGAACTTTTGCTTAACAGATGTCATATTTTTTTCAATAATGCTGCATATCTTTTAGAATAGAATTCCAATCCACTATTCTGGCTATCTGTCAGGAATTCACTATATCATTTTTTCGAAAGCACTACTCAAATTTGTTAGCTACACTGCCTGATTTCGTTTGTGTTGGGCCTGGTGCCTGAAATCCTCACTTGATTGCAGATATGCCATTTAAACATTGCTCCTGCTCTTACCAATATACGACATATTGTCAACGGGGTTGTCAAGCATATTGCACAGAGGAATAAAGATTCCGCGTTAACAAACGAACAAAGGACGGACTCATGTGCTCCTGATAGGAATGATTCGGCGCTTAGCTGTCGACAACGTGAACGTTTCCGGGCTCTGATTTTGATGAGTTCTATCTTGACCCTCCTTCACTTTCTTCTTTCTTGCAGCACTTCTATCACTGCTCAACCTTTTGACTGTCTCCGGCTAAAATCGGTCTTTTCTGGCAGAATGGATATAAGCGAGCTCACTAAACAGTCTCCCACATGTTACCGTATTTGTAGAAACGCTTAGAATAGCTAGTGCGAGGCGTGCGAGCTTGTATTGAGAAAACTCAGAGGGTATTATACCATTAAAATAAGTCTCAGAATTATACCAGTCCATTATAGATCTTCATCAGGCAAGCGCAAATAGTAGTGTATGCCAATATGTAACATCGCTTTGAGTGAGGCCAGACCTGTTTCAGGAAGCAGAAAATTGTTTTTGATAAGATGGGTGCAAGAACATGACTCAAAGGAAGAATGTCTGTTCACAATCGTCCCAATGAATGGACCAAGTTCGTCATAATGACAGCTGTCGCGAAGCTGAGGAAGATGCCTCCAAAGTCCAGTACCACGTCTACCATAGTATCTTTAAACGGACGGAGGCAGTTGGCAAAGGGTGAATAATGATCTCCGCGTCTTGTAACTATATCGAACATTGAGCAATTCGGAATACACTATTCGGCGGCACCTTATGCCAAACATTCTGGTTCTGTAACTCGTACAAAACAGCAGGAAAATCATCCTTATTTCTGCATCGTCTTCTAGAGCGGTTTTGACACGGAGGATTGGTGCAAACGTTGCCTGCATTGAGTTTCAACGCGTTTCCGCCATCATTAGCAGCGCAAAGTGAGGGCCATAGATGAATTAATTTCGTCCCGGAGGCGAGGCAGCGACTTCGTTGTTGAGAGAAGAGTCAGCAGCGGAAGATGACAATTTGGACGATCCCCGTCCGGTAACTCGGGATGCTATTCGAGCGTATGAGGAGAAAGTTCATCGATATTGGCACTCTGCAAAGCATCTCTCCGAGGTCGCCTTCCGCTGTGCGGAAGTTCTCGAGAGTCTGGAACACTTTGTGCACCGACTGCTTCGCGTTGAGAATTATCATGCTCTGTCGGAGCGGCTCCTAGCCGTCAAGCAGGCGAACAAGTCACTCCGTGCGACGGTGGAGCGTCTTGCGCCGTTAATGAGGGAAGTTGTTGCGTTCCGTGCTCAGCAACAATTGCTGGTTCAACTTCTGAATAGCCGAGCGCCTTTAGGCGCCGCCCCGGCACCAACGACGTCACGCTCACTTGCGCCGGATCCCAGTACGGCTTAAGCAAGCCCACATAAAACACCAGGCAGGTGCGCGTCCTTCTCGGAAGGTTCAGCGTATACGCTAGGCCTTGCTTGGCCACGACCTATAAAAAATCCAATAAACTGTGGACAGAGCTTTGTCTTAAATACAACAGAAACGGCATATGTAGGAAAATTTTTAGAATTCAATAAAACAAGGTCTCCGACCTCAATGTATTCGACATTTCTTTTTCCATTTCCGTCTGCGTATTCCTTCTGTATTTCTTGACTTTCAGCCATCGCATCGAGTACGTGTCATAAGATACTCTGTCTAGTAGACAGAAAGTCTCCGGCTTCCTTACGCACGGTGAGGGGGCTGTCATATGCTTGCCGTTCGGCTATTTCTCTCCACCAAGCCTTGAGCCATGGGATGGCGGCGTCAGCGGGACGCGAGGATTAATAAGCCCGTTCACGTAGAACGGTGTATAGGCGATAGATGAAGATTGTAGACCAAAACGTCCCAGTTAAGAGCGGGTCTCTACTAGAGAGTTCCTGCTGTCGAAAGACACGATCAACAAACAGCGTCGCTGTATCCACACCGTCGATGGCGACCGCACTGCCGCTAGACGAGCCATCTTGCTCAGACGGACCACAAAGACCACCATACCCGCGTTGTCCGCCGATTCCTTCGGCAGGCCAAACCCAAAATCCAAACTCAAGGACTGTCAACACCCGGAGGGGGTACCGGCAAACTGGCCGGCGGCGGTGTCACGTCTCACACGTGCACATTTGTGCTCGTCCACTTGTATATCTTGGGCCACCAATAGTAGCAACTCACCGAGCTGTACGTCTTCTCACAACCGAAATGGCCACTAAGTGGGGTATCTTGGGCCTCATAGAGGATACCATATTATAAATTCTCATCGTGAGGAACCACGACTCGTGGCGTATCCGTTGAATCGGTGCTAAAAAAACAACCCATTATCCAACGAACATCGGTGTAATCGTGGGCGTGATCGCGCCGACAATTTCTTGTCCGAGTTTCCAAACTTCTTGCCCTCGATAGCCTGAGCAGCGCTACACACATACTGTCACCCGCGTGTGCGGCGCGGATCTAATCCGTGTTTGACAAATTCACCGTCGTGACATGATCAAGCTCATAGTCCGGTCTGCGTGAGAACGCATCAGCCAAAGCATTCTGCTTTCCTGGCTTGTACTTCACCTCGAAGTTTCATTTTGCAAAGAACGAGAGCCACCTGGTCATCCTCTGCGAGAAGGTGAGGGGACTGAGTTGCAGTGCGTACTGACGCATGATCTGTGTAGATCACAAACGCCTTTGAGCCAAGCAGACGCACCCTGAATTTGACCAGTTTATACTTCATCGCAAGTATTTCCTTGTCGTGGACTGGATTATTCCTATCCGCAGCCTTAAGCTGGCGAGATTCGAACGCGATCCCCGATCTCGCCCCTCGGCGTCTGCTTGTAGTAGTGCACACCAGATGGAAAATCCGAAGCGTTGCAGACGACACTAAAAGGACGATCAGGGTCTGGAATAGCCAGTATTGGTGCATGAAGGAGGCTGTCTTTGACCGTTTCAAAAGCCTTTCGATGCTTGGTGTCCCAACACCATTCTGTATTCTTCCTAAGGAGATTAGACAGGCCGTGCCATTTCCTCAAAATTTGCGCTATACTTGTGCAAGTAGTTATCGAGACCAAGCCACTTGCGCAATTTCTATTGGTACTTTGGGAACAGCCAGTTCACAATGTCCTTGACCTTAGTAGGATCCGCTCGAAGGCCACCTATCCCATTTAAGATCCCTAGAAAGGGGATCTCCTCGCGCCGAAGTTGCACTTATCTGCATTAGCATACAACTTATTCGTGCGTATGCACTCGAGCACCGCTCTTAAATGAACGGTATGGTCTTACTCATCTGTTCTCCTGTGCCCCGCACGACTGTGGACGAAGCTGTCGTCAAAGTATGTATGTGCATACGCCCGATGAGCCTAAACAATTGCTTCACAACAAGATGAAATGATGCTGATGCATTTGACAGTCCTTGGGGCATCACCAGTCCCTCCCAGAGCATTGTGCTCGAAATAATCACCGCTGTCAGTGGAATACCACTCTCTCACATGAGCAATTGGTAATAACCATCGCAGTAAGTAGTACAGCCAACCATATTGTTCTGACGAATATTCTTTCTAGGACTTGACGTTTATGCCAGAATGGTGACAGCATTCAGCTTATTCTAAGCGTGAACGATACGCCACTTGTCGTTCGGCTTCCGGATACAATACGTGGGTGTCGAATGGGCAGACTTGCCCCCACGCACAATTCCTGCGCCATGCTTTGCACGGAAAAAGGCGTCAATGACGTAACGCTGCTCTTTCGGCAGGGGCTATTGACGTGTTGTGCAGTATTTGATTCCCAGAACCAGGGCAATCCCATCACGCACACCTCGGTCCGGAGGTAGAACCGACAGTGAGTCTTTGGAGAAGATGTCTTGAATTTTCTTCACCAAAGGATAGTACGGATCCGAGGGATCCTTCGGGATCGACGATCCACTTCGTGCGTTCAGCACCGTCTTGGTGTCTCCGAGGACAGGTTCATCTTAAACAACGACGAGTTAATCTCCTTGTTTGGTCTTACAACGACCACCTCGGCTAAACTGCCTGCCTCCAAGACACCGCTAAATTATCAAAGAAACATCCACCGCGGGAATAGCCTCGAGGGTAACGTCGCCATCTTTCTATCCCGTCATACCGTTGACAAGGGAACATAGCTGTGCGCTATTGTCTACGGTAGACATACCCTGGGTCAGGATCGACGCCCTACGTATCGCCGATAACATACGGCTTCGCCGTTTACGTCTCATCGAGACCAGTGGAAAACACGCACTCGGCGTTGTCCAGTGTTCCCACTCTCTGCTCCATCGGAGCCTTAATATTATTGACATCAAGAGCTCCGTAGTCTTCGTCCAGTGGATAATGGACCACTCCAAACACTTCAGAAGGGCCTTGCCCAGGATGCTTCGGACCCCGTCCGACCATGTCACTCTTGGCATGCAGCAACGGCTTCAAAACGTGAGCAGTGCTCAGTGGATTACGTGCCACTCCACGCGCATCACAAGGGCCTCGCCCTTGATGCCTTGGACCTCGTCTGACCGTGCCATTTTGGCACGCATCAATTGCTTCGTAGCGTGAGCAGTGCTCAGTAGGTTACGTGCCACTCCACGTGCGTCACAAGGGTATCGGCCTTGATGCCTCGGCCCTTGCGCGACGAGGTGCTCCACGCCCTCATGGCCCAGCAGGAACTTCAGCTTATTAAGCCCGTCCGCTTACCCTGGGGCAAATAGGTGTATTCCATCATCCCCACAGAGGATCAGTCGTAACGACTTAGGAGTAGATTGACTACGAGTGCCACCAAAAGCAGTGGGGCTGCCGTAGCTCATTGCTTAGAGAAGCTAAGCTAAGGTCACCGACCTTACGTTCTTTACAAAAACCAGTGCGAGTGTGGCGGATCGCAATCTGCTTCCCCAAGTACTAACGACTTAACCAAGGCAAAAATATTCTGTTCGAAATTGAAAGTGTATTGATTGATTTTGTTGCGGCAGAGCCACCAATATCTAAAACCCTATAATTTCTTAATTAGCATAGTAATACCCAATCTAAGTGAATGCTTGGTGAAACACGAAAGCAGATATACTGAGGTTTCGATCAAAATAATGTGCATGATAGTTAAGTGACCCGCTGAGAGCCGGGAATTCAATCCATTTATGATATTTTAAGATTGGCTGACTTGGGCTTTGTATCACGTGTGCAACGGGGTTGCTGGTCACCTCGCACATAGGATGTGCTGAAGCTTAAGTTTCTTGTCAGCTAATGCTCAGTGAATCGGCTGATCACCAGTCACCATTTAAGTATCAATCTGAGATCCTCTTCGGCAACCTTGCTTCTTTATCCAAAGGAAAAATTGATGCCCGGCGTTGCCTCAGAGTTGTTATCCCTATAATAACCCGAGCAGATGTTCTCGTTGGACTTGAGTAATTCTTAGAAAATATTTGCAATATATCAAAAGTCAGCATTAAAGGAAGTGCTGAGCAAAACAACTGCCGTGAATGTTTTCCCTATTTCGATCAATCAGATAGCAGTGAGTTCGAAGAGTAGAATGGACTTCCAAGAGATCCTACGGGTCGTATTTAAGATTCGTCGAAGGAAAATACGAAGTAACACGTCATGGGTTACGTTCAAACATCAGGAAGTGCGGTATGATATTAGTCTGGCCTCAGGAATCAAACTCAAGGCGCTATCTAATGGAATCTTTAAGGTAATAAATGATTTCATTCGTGTGTATCGCGTAGTAGATCTATTGTGAGAGATAGAATCACTTTGTTTGAAGTCGGTATTATGTTTAATGATGATTAAAGGCATGTAGCGGATTGGCATGCTTCTGTTGATAAATATAAGCCTGGTGGATTTAATGCGATGGCAAATTCTTTGACGTTGCTTAGATGATTACTTCTTAGATGTCTCAGGTGTGACGTCAACCTATGGCGATGCGATATGTATGGCGCATGATCATTTACAAAGTGGATCGCTTTATGAAAGCTTTGAAAAGCAAGATTTTGTTTAACTAAAAGTTAATGTATCGAAGCGTTTGGGTAATCGTTTGCACCGTTATTTCTTATTCGTTGGATATCGGTATCACAGCAATGACCCGCCAGACAATATACGTAAGCTGGTATATACTTAAGAAGAATATTCTATGTGAGACACACAAAAATTCTCTGGGTCATCACCCTCGAGAATGGACATATGGCCCACCGGGCGCGATGTTGTTGCGGCGCTACATGTATATAGGGTAAGGAGTTATGTGCACACATGTGAAACGACTCAGCGGATATTACCTTTGATACGTACACGCCCTTCGTCAGTCTGCCGGATCCGATAGCGCGCTGGCAGTCCATAAGCGTAGACTTTATAAATATTTATCTCTGGCTATTATGCGGATGCTGGAGGTAGACGCAGCACAAAATAATCTCTAGCTACTTTAAAATCATAACAAACGTTATTAAAACTAACACACGTGCGCTGTCTGCAGTCTTCACGACTATATTGAATCCTTCACGAAATCTGACTTCTAGCGCCAAATTGGTTTTGTGTTACTTTAATCTTCACCCAGGAAATGAAAATAAATGTGTCCATTTCGCGAGAATTTTTTATTCCAATCCACGACTCCGCTCACACGAGCCACTTAAACACAACGCTGAGGGATAAATATCTCAGAAGTCCCCTGTCGCTGAATTAATTGCAGATCTTGAGTAGCGATTCGATGTTGAACCGCTTGGAGTGTCTCAAACCAATCAGCTAGATTGCACAGCCCCGCAAGCGCGCCTGAAAATTACATTCTTATCCACATCGCATACAAGTTAAGATCTCGGGGGGAAATCAACGTTCCACCACAACCCAAAACCTCACGAGTGCCCAAAATGTGAGAGTCATCCATTACCGGCTGTGATCGGTGAGCAAGAAGAAACCCGATTCTATGTGGAGCGGAAATTTGGTCGATATGCTCACCAGGGGTGAAGTCAGTATCGGGTAAAGCTGAAAGGAATTCTCCTTTCGACAGCTCATGAGAGTTTGATCTCTCCATAACCCGTTTCTGTACCTTTGCAGCTGCTTAAGGCTTGTGACACCTTCAGTGCTCATTACCTGATCGTAAGAGACAGTATCGTGAATTAAAACGCACTCTCTCCAAACGAATTGAGCCTATCCTTATTCCGAGTTGAGATTCCGTCGATGACTTCTCCAACATATGGGCAAGGCTGCTGACAGCACAAATTTGTGGTGAGGGCGAGCTCCTGCCGCGACATCGACGCTGCGCTTTGCTGTCTGCAATGTGCATAGTCAAACATAACTAATTCGTAGTTTATTTTGGCTAAAAATTATATATGCGCAAGGCAACGTTCCTACATCATCCAGCACCCCCTCGCTTGAATAATGTTTTTTTGGCACTTTCGCCGAGTAGCATACGATTTGAGTAGCTGTAACGGGGGGGTGTAATGTTCGACCGTGTACTTTTACATTCTCACTCCCAGTAAAATAGTGCAGACACAAAATTGTAAAATTGACTCAGTTCACACTCTATTTATTTAGTTGTGAAACTATTAGAGTATCGACACTAATGAAGATGATAGGATTTGGTAAACGAGAGGTACACGTGGGTTGCTAGCCTCAAGGCAAAAGTTGAAGGTTGGTTTATGGTAGTGAGACGTATATATATGGTTTTAGAATCTATGCCACTCTATTAATGGAAGCAAGTAGTTTTAAGAGTGAATTTTATTTTTCGGCCCTGTGTGGAGCGTACAAACTATACCTCCGTGTGTTGTAAACTCAGTCTCTCGTGTCAAAAATTTCTGGTACAAGATGCACGGCTACTTAGTTGCGCTTGGTAGCAATATAAATCAATCCCACGACCGGGATGTGAGATGACTGGTTCCTCTATGATAATTAACATCGAGTCTTGATTGCCTGTCCTCAAAACTACTACTCAAGCATGGTGAGGTTGCTGCTTTGCTAGTTGTGAAGGAGTCGGGGAAGTAGCTGGTCAAAGATCAAAAGCGGAAATCACCAGCCTGAAGGAGCTAATCAGCAATCGAATATGCCGGTGAGATTCCTTCAGAAACCCTTAACGCGGCATCGGTGGGATCTGAATCGGCTTCTACCTAAACTTCGCTTGTATATCAAAGATATCTTTTTCTCGGGTTAACGTAGTTGGGATGTTATGATTTTGACCGAACACCAAGGATGCAACAGCGCGTCGCATTGGCAGATTCCACGCCACGAGGACGCACGCGAGAATGAACCTTCAACCGCTAAAAAGAAGCATTCAAGACGTTATAAAGCTTGAAGCGACCGATGTTGCAGGTATTCGGACCACCTAATCAGTTGTACTGGGTGCGCTCAAAATTTGTCGTTTCGTCATAGAAGCCGTTTAGCTTGAGGCTAGTATACCACGCGTTCTACAATTCACACTTCAACATTGACCCATCTACTGCATATAAACGAGTTCTCATCGTTGTACTTCATCATGGTACATTACTTTGACATTTTTTAGCTCAGTCCAACAACCAATGAGCAATTGTGACAAAAGTATAATGTCTACGCACGCCATACTACAGTACGTACGTACTCCACCACACTCTTCTCCGAAGTGCGCCACATTCAATTTCTTTTATAATGTTCGCATTGCACCGAAAGTTGAGTCCTTCCCGTTGCACCTAAAAGTACCTATTATTATGCTAAAGCCGTATCAGACATCCTTATATTAACGTGTCCACATGACTGTGAACAAATGAGAATATAGCGTAGCCGTGGCTGATGATCTACAAGCTATACACCGTTAAGGAGTATGACAAGGCATTCTTCCATAAGGACGGTCATGTGACTTTAAGAATTTTGACCTGGCAATAAATGTGCTAAGCCATTAAAAGACAAACGGAAAGGCTATACGCTTTCCCGCTTTTCTGCACGGTTGTGCGCTCTGAGCCCGTTTTTGACGGCGGGGAATGTGACGTCACTACGACGCAGGGCTCACGACAACGTCCAGTCCGTCCAAATAAATTCTCCGAGAAAGGGATTGTTGTCGCCGTTTTTTATGCGTATAGTCACGAGCACTGCTCATTAATGTTTTATGTCGATGTCCACACTGTGCTCTGCACGACTATGGGCGAAGTCATCGTCGGAAAAGGTCTGTGCGCAAGCACAGTAAGTACGTCAACTGACGGCTAAATATCACCTATGCCGCAGATACCTAAACGGCGACATCGGGGTCAAATTACGCATTGCATAGAGAAGTGTCACTGTCTTTCATAAGCTTGGAACACTATCAATCAATGGTTCAAGAGCCTGCAAACGATTATGCTGTCTAGCAGCACACTCTAGATATCAACGTTTGCGCTAAAATGGTGCCTGCTGTCAGCTTATTAGAAGCATGCACGTTCGACCCTTTCCGCTGGCCAAGCTAACAGACAGTCGACGTGGAATAAAGAGATTTCTTTTCTCTCATAAACAGGCTTCGTGCTTTGCTTCTCTGACGTCACATTGCTCCCTCGATGAGAGTATCCGATAATGGGCCAGATCCACGACGACTAGCGACATGCTGCACACTCTGTCAAAACCGCGAGATACCGAGTCAAAAGACTTAACGAGTACACCGGTACACTTACCAGCTTCCAGTACCCACGGTACGTTCCTTATCAAAGGTATGAATTTTTCCACCTGCTGCTACTCTCATGCAGGCAATATTCTTGAACGTTTGTGGTGCTTCCAGACGTGTGACAGCATTTCTGATTATATCAGACACACTGGAGCACCCGCAGCGCGTCTACTTGGAGCTGTGACTAGCGGTAAGTGGTGTGTGGAGTCCGTGGAAGGAGCCCCCGGAGTGTTACGCAATATTTGGTTTCAGGAACCAAAACAATATTATGATGCTTTCCTCTAATGGAATATGTGCAAGGCATTGCAAGACGGATACATCACCGAGTTGATTCGTTTTGTACCGGAGGAGCTGCGCTCACAATATATAATGGATGAGTCTGCTATCGAGGAAACTGACAGTAAACACTTAGTGCGAGACATGGAGCGGCCATCCTAAAGCTCTCATGTAAATCTTTATCTTTAGTTGATAGGTAATGACAACGAGGCCCGCCACGGGCGGATCCAGGAGTGTGTTTTGCACCTGGTTTTCTGCAACCAAATTCTGTGTAATTTGCCAATGGCCCTCGCCAAGAGAACAGGGTTACGTCATAGACGCTTTGTTTCGTGCGAAGCTCTAAGCTCGTTTGGTATGGATTACACTCAGCGCTCCCAGCTATTTGCCCAACCAGGTGACTCGTATGACTTCGGGTCGCGGTTCAAATGGTGGACCTTTAGACTGATGAGCTCAGTTGCGCGCATCATTTTTTCTGTACAATCGTACTATCGGCCATGAAGAAAATAGTATTGCGCCTCAGAATGTTGTGTGCGTCTATGGTATATATTAGGACTGTGAGGCTGTTAGGGCGCCCATACTCAGCTTTATGCGATTGAAGGACACTCAACAAGAAAAGACACAAGTATCACACACAGCGACATTTACTCTGTCAAACACCAGGAACAATGAGGCACACATTCCATGTATCGCCATTCACCTCCTCATTACCCCATTTGACGCAATAACTTATTCACTAGGAATCCCGACAGAGCGTAGTTTGTCTTCCAGCGAGCGAAATTCTTTTTCGTTAACAGCGTTGAGTTCTTCATCAACCCACTCTTCAATGCCGCGCACCTCTGGAATATAGTGCTTAAGCATGTTTTCCACGCCATGCTTAAGCGTCACCGACGAGCTAGGGCAGCCAGCGCATGAACCTGCAAGCTGAACCGATACCATGCCAGTCTTCTCATTAAAACCCTTGTAAAAAATGTCTCCACCATCGTCTTGCACTGAAGGGCGAATTCGCTGCTCGAGCAACTCCTTGATCATAGCCACCACTTCATCGTCGTCTGGCAGAATCGTCGTGTCCTATCACCGACCCCTCACCTTAGAAATGTTTTGTCAACTTCCAATTAAAGAATCCTAGTGCTCTTACCGTAATTACTGGCTCATCGGACATCACTTCCTCGTTAGATGCAAAAAAATCCATAATGGTTGCAAAGATCTCAGCGTTTAAAGCCTGTCATAAGCATCAGTATCACCAAGCGTTAACAAAAATTGCTATTTTTAATCGATCAAAACATACATCCCAATCCTCGTCATCCAGCTTGGTGATTGAGATGAAGTCTTTGCCAAAGAACACTCGTGACACTCCTTCAATTTGAAATAATTTTTTGGCCAGCGGAGAGCGACGCACTTCCTCTGATGAGGGCGTGAAGTCCTGTACGAAAACAGCGATTTCTCCATCAGTATTGCCCAGATACAGCATATTCAAAGCAAACTCCAGCGTACTACGCCTGTTGTGAAGCGATCGTCTAGAACCGCGCGCCCCGGCAAGAACTTGACGCTTTGCGGGTTGGGCGTCGACTCGGTCTGGATGAACATGGAGCGCATCGCACCGCCGCGAGCCAAGAACGGCGACACTGGAACAATTTTCAACGTCGACTTGGGTGTTAATCTAGCGACATTGGGTACTTGCACAGAGCAAGCTGCTGAAGACAAAGCTCCGCTGCGATGTTGTAGAGTGCGAATGAGGCGACGTGCGAGCATGATTAGGATAACGGAATTCAAATTATGCCAAATTTTATGTGCAAGAACAAAACTTGACAATATTTTTTAAAGTTAATTGTATTATTGGCTATTGTACAGTGTTGCCATGTTCATCCCAAAGTGGAATATTGAGCACATTGGGCCAAACAAAGAATTCTAGGAGTAGATCATATAGAAATGTGTGAAGCCTGGCCACAAAAGCATTTTCAATTTGAAAAAGACAAAAACTACCATTTTCTTAACTGACGCACCATTCCGAGACAAAAGGGACATTAGCAATGTTGATTTTGGCTGCAGTTAGCGAAAAATCGAAGACTGGTCGTCTACACCCAAAAAACTTGAAGTTATTTGGATACATTAAGCATATACGTCAAGTAACAAATGATATTTACTCGGTGAAGCATAGATTGAGCCCTCTGAAGCACGGCCAGAACTCTGCCAGCGGATTGAGGGTGATACGCAGAGTACCAACAAGAAGAAGCTCCCGCAAGGATAAACACGCCGCTGCTCCAAGATTCGACACCATTCTGAAATCCGCCACAAAAGATTTTTTTTCCGTGAGTACGCGGACCTCTACGTCCAGCGTCACTTCATCCGTCAGAGTATCGGCGGAAATATACTTGACACTAGCAACATGCGGTGTCTTATTTCCCAAATCTAAGCGAATAAGCGATAACGAACTCATGAACGCAGGCTTTTGTGCGTCCAACAATGGGTTGACACTTCCAAGAACTGAGTCCTAGTCAATAAGATGCAACCGTCAAAGTTTGTATTAGCAATGTTCGGGATACACTCACTTCAATCGCTTTTTTCAGATATGGCCAGCCACTAGCGCAGAAGCAAAAGAACAATCATAAGAAATTAGCTAGTATTCAATCGCAAAGGTGCCGAAACATTGGTGTCAATGGCCCCATACGTGGCAAAAACCTTATTCAGCCACTCCACTCTATCGACATCTGGGTATCTCATCCAGTTCAGAATCTGTGCGTTCAGTGAATGTAAGCAATTAAGTTAAAATTACGGGAATACACCAAGACAAACCCCAGCATGAGTTGTATCAGCACTTGTTTTTGATTTATGGAAACGAAAAGCCGCATTTCGTTGCAATTGAGTTCGTCGGTCAGACTTGTAACTCGCGTAACCCCATATGTAAAGGAAAACACTAGCGGTACCGATTCCAAAGAGCATATGATAGGTACTAGCCACGTAAACAGCAAGCGAGAAGAATGTCCATACTGCGTAATGTTGATGCTGATTGCCAAAGTGGGCAAGGGAACCGGACAAAGCAAATGGTAGAAAGACAGAAGTATCCGAGCAGCCCGCAATCGTAGCAATAATGAGCATACTTGTGAGCCAGCGAATCTTTACAGGTTTCAAATCGTCGATCGGCTCGGTGACAAACACTTTTTGACTTACTGGGTGATCGTCGTCTGACTTTGTAGAGGCAAAATTTGTATCCAGAGGATTTACGCTAGCAGATGCATAATTTTTTAAAGTTGGAGCACTTGTGGCTGTATAATCATGGCTGCTTATTTCAGAAACATCTTTCGAACAAACTGATTCCAGATTTACATTTTGGCCAAATGTTGATTCAAAGAGCGAATTCTCTGTGACAACTTTCATCAATTTTTTGCCCGGAAAGTTCTGCTTCAAGGGTACTTCACTTGGTTGAGCCGATGAATTTATAGCCGAACTGCTCATCGGGCTTCGTGTTTGATGATGCTTTTCATGTGAAAAGAAGTTAGTTCCCCAGCGATTTGAAGGGCGTTCCCCAGTTAGACTAGCTGAGCGTTTTGGTGTCAGCATTGTACGACCGACGGTAGCGATTCGACTGGCTGGATCAGTTACAAGGCGTTGTGTAAGTTTCTCTCGAGCTGCAGCAAATGTTGAAGAAGCTGTTGGACTGCTGCGAGAGCTACAAAACGAACTATTTGATGCACCAAGAGAGAGGTCTGCTCGCAATTCTTCGTTACTAACAAAATTCGAATCATTTAAAGACGCTGTAGAGGGACTTCGAAAAAGTTCACTATCTAAAGATGTAGCACCTTTAATAGCCCCATGTATACATTTGACCCAGAGCAGCATACGAGCTTGGTCGTCCTCGAAAAAAATAAAACCCTGAGGCTGCAGCCGAATGATGTTTTTCTTCTTCCACGTTCGGACTTCCACACAGAAACATTTTTCCATCACAATATTAGCATTATCCGATTCAAAGCTTAACACCGCGTTTGCTAGTGACAACAAATACACTAGCTCCGTGCGGGACTCGTTACTACGCTCAAACAAATTTTGATTAATACTTGTGCACTTCGAAGACAATCATTGACAACGTACTTATAAATCTCCAGCGCATGTTTAACAGTATTTGCCACAACAAAGTGCGTTGATTTAGACATGAGAAAACGCTGTCTTTGCTTTTTCTTTTGATGCACAACCATGAGACCTTCGACAGAGTTATGCTTGATCGGCGATTTGTTCTTTACTGCTGTCGGAAGCGGCTTTGACTTTGTCTCACCTTCTTCCACGCCAGCTTCTGTACAATGTACACTAAAAAATTCTTGAGACTCGGAAAAATTCGAAACATCATTCGTTGACGCGAGTGAGCACGACATTGCCAAGAATTTCTGACTGGCCTTCGTTTAGACGGCGGTTTTGATGTTGAAGTAAGTTTCAGAGCTCATGACTTGATTTTGTGTGACAATACATAAAATCATAATAGCTCCCCCTTCGTTAAAAAATCATCCAAGAGATACTGAGGTCAGAGCCGACGCTGTGAAAGAATTTTTATGGACGACACAGCTCAGCGCAGTTTACTGCTATGGGTATGTATGTATTCATTTTAAATTTATATTTGTGTTGTGAACACCTAGAAGAATTGGTAGCTGTTTTATGATATAAGAAAGCAGACAAGTGTCTTTAAATGCTGACGGATGGATATGTTGATTTGGCTGCTTGTGACCCGCACGAGCACAGGTACAGAGTTTCCATGAGAAGCTTGCCACAGACGTGCAAATATCAAGACTTGAAGATCTGTGTGACGGTGTCTTCCTCTCTAAGATCATGCACCACATGTGCGTCCAGTGTGACAGCTACTAAATTCAAAGTCAAGAAATGCAACTGATCCCATCATATCTTTTTCATTATGTAGCGATGGTGAGTACGTGAACTTAGAGCAAATCAATGATCAGCCTGGTAGCAACTGGGCGCTTAAATCCAACAATCTTAAGACGCTACTTCGTGCTGTGGAACTATTTTACACGGACGAATTGGGACAAATGTGCCAAGCTAACGAGCTGGTAGATCCTTCGCTAATTGCTAAAGAAAATGATGTTCATGAGGTATCAAAATTGACCGAGCTTCTTCTTGGGTGCGCTGTTCAGTGCCCTAACAAATCCGAGTATATCCATCCCATTATGCAGATGGGCGCTTCTGAACAAGCTAGTTTGATGCATGCAATCGAAAAACTCATGCATCGGTTTCAGCCTGTATCTCCTACCAACACAAGTCGCCGGGATTCGATGGCTCATAGTGCTTCCTTCGACGAAGTAACATCACCTTCATCATCGGCTTCCTTGTCTGCTTTAAGGGCGGGCGGTTCACCCGAAGCATTAGCTGCACAACTGGCTCAAGCACTTGAACGAAGTTCGTCCATGGAGTTACGATACCTGGATATGGAGCGAGAAAAGCGCGAGTTGACAGAACGTTTCGAACAAACGTTGACTGAGCACCGCGAGCTTGTGGAGAAGTACACAGTGCTAGAAAGCGAGCGCGATCAGCTCCGCACCGAGCGTCAGAACACGTTAACTCGTGACAATAAAAAAATTCAACAAATTGTAGACAATGAAGTTCATGCTCTACAAATGCAAATGGAAGAGAAAGATTTGGAGTTAAATCGAGTTAAACGCGAATCAGGAGAACGTTTAATGATGCTGGAGAATGAAGTACGTCGCCAAGCGGATGAACTTGATATTTCACGTTCAAAGCTGGGGACGCTGAATAAACTTGAAGCAAGTGTATCGAAGTACAAAAAAAAACTGGAGGAAATGAACTCGATGCGCGCTCAAATGCGTGAGCTTGAGACACTTAACGCTCAGTACTTGGACAAGGTAGTGGATCTAGAGAGTACGATCAAAACAATGCCCGGACTAAAGAACCTCATCGAAAAATACAAAAATCAAGTGGTGGAGCTTGAGACAGCTAACGTCCAGGCGAGCTCGAATCTGAGTGTAAAAGAGCAGAAAATCCGGAGGCTGCAAGAAGAACTCGATAGTGCATTGGGAGGTAAAGAGTTTCTCGAGTCCCAAGTGGAAGAATTACGTACCCAAATCTCGAGTTTGCAATACCGAGAAGGTAGCGACGATGCGATGGCTACTGGAGAGAGTAGTGCCGTGAATGGAGGTGGGTTAAGTGCGGATATGTTGCTCGGTCGGGACTCTGTAAGTGGTTTGAGAGAGCGTGTGGCTCGTTTAGAGCGTGAAAATACGGAGTTAAAGAATGGCAATGTAGACGCTGGACACGCAGAACTGGTGAATGATTTGGATATGGCCATCAAGGCGAAAGAATCGCTCCAAGTGTCACTCTTTCAAATGCAGAAACAAAACGACCAGTTGTCGGAAGATTTACGCAATACGCGGATTCGAAGCGAACAGCAACAGCAAATGCTGGCGCAAATTCAGCATGCTCATCCACAACACCCTTCGCAATCTCAGTGGCAAAGTGTACCAGACAGATCAGAACCGATGCAAATTTCAACTGATATGGCAGTCAGGGAAGGTGTGGCAGCAGCTGGAAATGCTGAATTCGTGACTCCAGCTGCGCTGGAGTCTGGCATGGTGATGGGACCGGGTGGTGTCATTCATGCCCCTGTGCCTTCTTCAAGCTCAGTTGTGGTCACGAGCAGTAACAATGCGCTTTCGACAGCTCAAATTGCTGAGTATCAGGATAAGCTGGATAAACTGGTATGGAATTGGTTTGAGCATCTTGTTGAATCGTTTAAATGATTTATGTGTGGTGGGTCATAGGAAATTGAGGCGGAAGCGGTGGATTCGCTGCGTGCTACGGTGACGGAATTGACAAAACGGTTGAAGGAAAAGGAATCAGTTATCAACGAACTCTCCGAGCAGCGCGCTAAGCTCGAGAATTATACGAAGAAGACACTGCATGCAGTACAGACAAAGTACATGGTGGCTGTGAGCTCACACCGCAATCAGATTAACGAAAAGCAAGAGCGCGTGGATTTCCTGGAGAAAAAAATGAAGGAGGTCCGTGCTTCATACTCTCGGGAGCAGGCGCTGATGATGTCTTCTTTTTACGAGGTGCGTGTATTTGGTGCTGCGTTTGAAATAGCTTATATATGTAGACACTTTGCTTTTTTGTTTGACCACAGATTGGAACGGAAATGCAGCGTCGTACTATGATGCCACAAGGTCCAGCCGCTGGGGCCCCAGGAGCTGGATCATGGCTTGCAAACAAGAGGACAGAGGAACGAGCGAAACGACGACAAGGGGTATGAGCATGCTGTGGATGGTAACAAGAGCGTCTTGATGAAGTATTGGCTTTAGGGAATTTGGAACGTTTTAGTATAACGAATTAGCCATGTGCGAGATGGAGATACGGTTTATTAAGTTTGAATACAGGGATTTCTTGTGACACAAAATGCCTTTTGATTAAGCCACTTAGTCAATCACATTAACGCCAAGATTAACGAGCGCGCGTGTAGCCTGCTGGCAAATTCGGTCATTTGTAGAATGCACAAGTGATTGTAGAGCCTCTACTCCGCCCAGCTCTACGATTGCTTGCTTATTTTCCGCTATACACAATCCGTACGAGCAATTCTCAGCATTTACAACTACAACACATTCTGAAGACTTATCACGTACGGTTGACTGACAAATTGCGCAATGCGCGTGCGACTTGAGACTGAAGCTCGACAGAATCGGAGTGCGCTCCATCAACAATAGGCTTTAAACCGCCTTTTCGTGCAATCTCGACTTCATTAGCATCTGATTTACCAAGACAAATTGTTAGGAGCACAAAGAATAAGGAAAATGAACTTTAGTTGTCACCGTTGACTGCTAGATTTGCGAGCGCTGCAATGGCCTCAACGGCGACGCCTATCTGACGGGAGCTGGCTAAGTCAATAAGTGGTCTGATGCCACCCGCTTTGGCGATGCGCTCCTTATTATCCACTGGAAAAAACACGTCCACATGATGGTATTTGAGTATTTGTTAAATCTACCCCAGCAACAATTATTGTGCACCGTTGACCCCAAGATTGGCAAGAGCTTTGGCGGCCTGTCGCTGTACGTGCTCGTTTGAGCTGCTCAATAGGTCAATAAGCATGTCGATTCCTCCTTCCGTGGCCATCTTGGACTGATTTTCAGCTACGCAAAAGTCATTTCAATGCATGTTCCCCAAAAACAAGCAATTCTTACAGTTAACTGATAAATTAGCAAGTGCATGTGCCGCTAGACGCTGTACCTCCGTGTCCGTTGACTTTGTGAGCGGAAGCAACAGTTGCAGTCCATCAAGCTCCACAATTTGCACCTGTCTGTCGGCTGCACACGACCCAATTAACGTTACTACCCAAAAATCAAGCATTCTACCATATAATACTCACGTTTAACAGCTTCATTGGCCAACTTCTCGGCAACTTCTCGCTGCAATGTTGTGTCGGCCGAACGTGCGTAGACGATAAGTCGTTGCAGATTCACACGCAAAGCCTCAGTGAAGGCCTCATCTTATACAAAATTCGACTAACGGTCAGCAATTTAGTCATTTGACAATATTTTTTGGGGTTTTCAACTGCACCATCATTATCTTCGAATGTAAATTCGTCCTTGCTGCCCTTAGCGCCTTTGACTCCGGCGTTTCCCATCAGCAACAGTCGTCTACGAGATACGAATATCGCAAACACTCTGTGACTCTTGTGTTGTATTACACAATCAAGTCCTTCCTACGAAAATCAATTAATTACCAAAGTCTCTGGCCATTATTCTATTCGGTAATTCCTTCGCTTATTCACACAATGCACATGTACCTTCTGCGTGCATTGCACATGTAATAGCTTGGCGTAGACCGTAACATCATCCCCCCTTAGAGTCTAAAGTACTTTGATACTTGTATAGACTTATTGGAGCACTTTACTCTCCGATCGTAAAATCAGCTATCAAGTGAGCAAGCGGACTTTGAAGAGCGTTCTTTGCCTAAGCGGCAAGTACCGATTCCGGAACTCTTTGCGTCACATTCGAGATGGAGACAATAAGTCCTATAGGATCGTCTCTTTCGTAGGCGTCGGATCAATAATTGCGGTGATTCAACTCGGCACATCGCAGTTAAGCTGAACTCATGGCGGATGTTTATAGCCTTGAAAACAAAACAACATGGAGCGTTTGCTTTATCGATTCATCGCTGGCTAGACCCCCCAATCGCGACCGAGCAAAACTCAGCTCTGGTCGTCGTAGTGTCGTTTCTAGAAACACCACAAAGCGATTCTCGTAACTGCGGACCGCGTCGAGGACATCATACTTCAGGGCCTTATGAGATTTTTACGTGCCCAAATTCGATAAATAGCCGCGCTACCAAACTCTGTAAAAGCGTTGATGGCTCTACAAATTTTTTCTACGAGTCGAGCGATCGTCGTGATCGACATTAGTCTCAGCGATCCAACGAATATCGCCGCGAGAGTCTTATCACGGAGGTTTGCTTGGACGTGAAAACGATTGATCTAC